TTCCCCTAAAACTCAATACGACACTGTTGCCCAAGAGAAGAAATATATTTGTGTTTTCCAGATATCTGGAGAGAGCGAAGGAGTAGCATGGAAAATCCTTGATGTGGAATCTCATTATCCAAAAGAACTTGGGGGGTCCCTGGAGCTCTCCAATGACACCTCCTTTTCACTGAGGATCAAAAATGCGACCGGCCGAAACAGCGGGACATATAAGTGCATTTTGGGGGAACAGAGCGGAGAACGCAATCTGAGCAGCACAGTCACATTACAAGTAACAGGTACAGTAGAGACTTTTGACTGTCCCATGCTCCACATGGCATTTCATGAAGGTAACAGTTCAAAAATCTTTTATGAACACCAGAACAATGTAACACCTAACTTTACATTTTAGGTTGCCCTGGAATACAAGATGAAAAATTAAAAAAATACAAAGCCGAGCTTTTCATGCTGACTTGCCTTGGGATTTTTTACTTGCTGCTCATCTTTTTTACCTGTGTAAGTAATTCCCTTTCTTATAAACAAACCAACCAAAACCAACAAAAACCAAACCCTGCTCATTTTCTCTGCTAGCACCACCTTAACACAACCAGTCAGAAGTTGGTGTTCATACTTAATTGATGATCAAATCCTTTAAATACACAGTATTTTCAAAGCCAGAGGAAACTCAGGTGCACGAGGAACACAGGATGGAGTCCCAAAGAGATAAAACATTTCATTGCACCCTGATCTAACTCAAACCGGTTACTACCCTGCACCTTGCTGCCCATTTCTGTTTCCAGTCACCCTGAGTGCAAGCTACTCTTCAGTTTAAGGGCACATCAACAGCTCTTCTGGTTTGGTACTTGGGAACAGCATTTGCCTGAGATGGAGGCACAGGCCCCTGGGATCCCTTCCCCACCCATGGCATTGCTTTGTGTGGTGGCATGGTAGACAAGTTCAAGTCCACCTATTTTTTTGCCTCAATTTCCATACCTGTAAATTGGTGACAACCTCATCTCAGATGGGCATTTTTGTGAAGCTCCAGCTTTCTTGGTAAACAGACATTTTTAAGGTCCTTAGAAAATAACCTCCTCAGGGTTTTATCCGTACCCTTAATGCTGGCACATAGTTCTGGGAAAGGTGGGGAGAGGAGGTACTTGGGAACCTCAGTTCACAGAAGCAAAACTATGTTTTGTCTGCGGTAGCGGTGAAGTCACCCCCTCGTGCAGAAAAACCAGGAGGTCTGTGCCTCCCGGCTTAAAGGCAGCATGAGCCTCGGGACTCGGTGCAGTGCAACACCGGCTGCATTTCTAATTCAAAACAAAACAAAACCAACCCCATCATTTTGGGAGGTCAAATTTAACTTTTGCTGCCTATTTCATATTTGCCTTCTTGTTTTGCTCCTCAGCAGATGAATCATAACTGTTGATTGGAGAATATCTAATTAGCTGCAGCTAAATGTAGCTTTTCATGTATCTTCAGGGAGCAATTAAATTTATGCCTGTCTCTTTTTTCGATTGACAATCCTGCCAGTAATTTGTGTCATTCAGACTAAAGTTTGACAAGATAAATCTTGTAGGAATTTGTTAGGATGAAAGTATGAAAGCACAGATATCACTCAGAAGAGACAGATGCCCCTGTTCTGCTCAGTGTCCTGAAAGAATTTCAGGTCTCTACAGAAACTTCTCCTTCCCATACGTAAAAAAAAGTCCCAGTTTTAGTGGTGCAGTTAAAGAAAAGCAGAGCCTGTAGTGAAGATAACCACTCTGGCAGAATTAGGTGTATCTTACTCTTGGGTGAGGTCCAGTCTCAGGTATCAACCTAGCTTTCATCAAAATTTAATATTGCCCTGATCTCACAAGTGAGCTTCATTATTTAAAATGCCTGTTAAGTTCTTACAGGTTGCCTTGTCCTCCCTTTAGTGGAGATTGTGCCTTATCTGCTCTGAACTCAACAGTGACATTAAGTTTAAGATTAGTTGGCAGGACTGGGACTTTACTTTGACAAGCTGACAAAAATATTTCACGTACTGGCCTGTTATTGAAGGCAGGTGGAAACACACTTGCAAGAGTGATGCAAGGCCTGTTCATATGAAAACTTGAATTAAATATAAATTTCCTTTTTTGATGAAGGTCTTTGTCCTATAAATCTCCTCAATTGAGCAAGAAACGGCAGCTTTTCTTTGTACTGGATGCTTCTCCTGACAAACAAATGGAAAAGGTCTAATGAGCTGTAGTTAGCAAGGAGAAAAAGCAAAACTTTCAAACTTTAAAAAAACTGCCTTTCACAGGAATTCTCAGTTTTAAGCTTTTCTTTCTGTTTTCTCTTTTAGACATGTCTAAGAAAAGAGAGTATGTCTCCCAATTATCAAAAAAACAGACCAGATATGAAACACATGCTCACCCTCATCAATGTACACGAAATGATAACTCTCCAGGATTTAAACAGCAACAGCACTTGCAAAAATGAGCTTACTTTAAGTTCTGTCTAAGTCGACATTGACAGCACCATGGGCTCATCAGTAGACACGACATGAGCTGGATGGCCGAGCGGTATGGAGAGGAAATAAACGCTAATGTATGACTTCTTCAGAATAGCCTGAAAGCATAGGTAACCTGTTGGTGATCTGCTCGCGCCGGAGAAGCCTTCGAAAAAGCACTCTTATGCACTACAGTAACTTTTAGGAGGTAGGCAGCTAAGAAATACCATTACAGCTACACAACGGTGTTACGATGCTGTTATGAAGTTGCCGTCAACTTTATTTCACTCTGCTGTGCAGCCCTCTTGTTTTGGGCAAGAACACACCCGTGCCATGGAGGCCAGGTTATGGGGAGGCCACGGCAGCACAAAGCTGAGGGATTAAGCTCTTCACTGAACTAACAGCTCTCGTCTTTCAAAAGCAAACACAACAGGTGCTACAGTATGGAAAGATAAGTGTGCGGGGCCGTCTCTGCTCCGTGCTCCGAGCCTGATGCTGGATGGAGTTCCTTTAGTGCAAGCAGGATGTAAATTGTCCTGTGATGTTCAAGTAAGCTGAAGAGGTAACTTCATGCTCTTGTCCTGGGTTAATCAGATCAACATTTGTTTTTAAATCTGAGCGTGACAGGCTGAAATGTAAGAAGGGAGAAAATGCTCTGGAAGTCTTGTCTGGACCAAGAGGAACTTTCTGTCTCTGCAAGAGAAGTAGGGACGTACTTGCATAATGGGTCCATCAGTTATTTCTCAGAGGCATCTCCACAGGAAGTTTCAAAGAGACTGTTTAGAGCAATGAAAGTAGGAATGAAGCAGCCTGTGAAATTAAGGACATGTAAAGCTGACTTATTTTGTGGTTTATAAAACATGAAGCCAAACGTATGCAACACCCACGTCAGTCAAGTTACACAAGCGATGACCAAAGCCATGGCTTCAAAGAAATCAGCTGTCCATATCTTTGGGATATATTGTCAGCTGTGAGATACAGGAATGGAAGATGAGGCATATGAAGACCTGCTTTTGGTGCTGACAGTGTGTAGTATATGCGAAACAAGGACATGAGAAAAGCTGAACTCAGGCACACGGTATAAGGGAGAGAAAGCTTGTCCTCTTGGACTGAAGAAAGCAAGAGAGATTTTGGAGTCTGAAATCAAGGAACCTCCTTTATTGGGCTGCTGGTGCAGAACATGAAGCAAGGAGTCTAGAATGACTGTGGGCATATATGCCACAACATGAGAATTTGCAAGCACTTAAGAACACAATCTTAAAAAAAACCCAACAAACCTTCAAGAGTTAAACTGCAACATTAGGCTGCTAATGACAAAAAATTAAACTGCTATGACAAAGATGCTATTTCTGTAATCCTTTGACTAATTTTCAAGCGCTGACAGGAGGAAAGCACTGTGCATCACTCAGTAGTGCCTCTGTGAGCAGGGCAGATGTCTCCATTGAGGGAGTTGAAGGGGCTCCTGACCAGAAGAATGGTTACAAGGGATATGCAATTTACTTAGAGCATAGTAAATTAATGCCACATTTTCATTTTATAATCAATTTTTTATATATAAGTGTAACATACTTGAAATAAAAATTGAGAGGTAACCTACCATTTGTTTTTGCGTGCTACTATGGCAAATAAACCCAGAAATACTCCGCATCAATTGCATTTTATTTTACAACCAACATAATTACATCAAATAATGTAGATGCCTGATCCAGCCTCTTCTGTGGGAGATGGTATGTATGCGTGTATAATTGATTAAGCAATGGATAACTTTAGGCATTTCTAAGAAGCTCAGATAATTTAAATTTTCCTCAAAATTTCACTTTCTGTCCAAAGTACATTCTAAACCACCTGTTCCCTACTGACAGGAAAAGTCATTAAGGAAAACACAAGAGTATTTCAGTCTAACCAGGATCACTTTTAAATACGGCGCACCATCATGGGTGACCGATACATTTAGTTCACAATAATACAAGCTAAATGTACACGTAAAATAACCAACCTAGGGTACATCGAGTCTCTTCATTTGATTAGAAAGGCTTAATACCTGACAGTCCTAGTTTTTTGAGTTTTGATTTTTTAAAATTATTTTTAAGTTTTGCTTTAGGAGAGTGGACAAGAGGAAGGAAGGGAAAATTCAGTTGGAAGGGTTGATAATTAATCGGCAGCAAAGGCTGAAACCCTTTTAAAATTATTTCTCCAGGTGTATAAATAGGATCAGATCAGATAGGACAGAATGAAAAAAGGGACTTTGTATGAACAACTATGCCCATTATTTTTTCCCCGAGCCAAACTGTCTGCAGAACAGAAAATTTGGCTGGATGCAACACCACTGGGAGTCAAATTTCAGGCTCAGAAATTTTGGGCTGTTTGATTCTGGGGATTTGCTGTAGGCCCAGCTGTGCAGTTGAAGTGATCAAGGTCACTTAAATGCATTAAAGAGTTTAGAAGGAGTAAGCAGTGAGAAAGCCAAGATGCTTGACTGAATCACAGAGCTGGAGAGAAACAGGCAACGTCCTAGAGCGATGAAGGTACCTGCACATCTGGGCTGTAAAGGATGTAAAGAAACTGTTGTGGCACTGTAGGACAAAAAAATAACATTAGCTAAAAATATTACGAATGAGAACCAGACAAGTGAAGGATAAAAGCTAACATTTACAGCAACTTCAGCACTAACAGGGACAAAAAAAGAAAAAAAATCACGTGCTGGCTGAAAATCTTACAGAATGAGCTACGCATTTTTCAACATAGTATCTCAGAAGAGACAATCCTTTCCTTGCAATATGGACCTATTCATATTTCCAAATCACTGCCTCAGCTAGCCTGGCATACAGGGGATGAGCACATGCACATGTTCTTTACACTAACCCTTCATTATTAAAGGGAATGTGTTGTGGATTGCACAATTGAGAGGTTGTTCTGATTATACAGATTGATTGCTTTGTTGGACTGAAAAATTTGTTTTATTTTCCACCACTCTTCTTATTATTGATGCCTTTAGTTTTGTAAGATAGTATAAAAACATATGTGTATGCTAGAACCATTCTTTTCAATGCCTTCTTACAATACTTTTTAGAATCAGGAATTCAGTTAATCTCAGTAAATCCATGAGGTGGGAAATAGCTTTTATTTATAAAACAAAGATTATGGTAAGATACCTGGAAATCAGAAAGCTCCTGAAGAAGTCTGGATCAGAACTGGGAAGAGATTTGAGGTTTCCTGACTCTCTTCTGGGTGCCTTAACCACTGGAGCTTCCTTGTTAATATTTCTTGTGGGTTTTGTAACTTTTTCATTGATTTTTTTCCCCTTCTGTAAGCTGCTTTTTTCTATTGTTTTGTCCAGAGGTGAACCATCTGCATTCAAAGGTAACAATAAGCATCATACATAAAATTACTCATACAGAGCGAGTTTGTACCCCTGTGATTAAGGAACATCCAGAGAAACACCACACCACATGGGGAAATTAACCCAAAGAGTAATTGCAACAGTCATATGCTGGAGCTAAACGAATATCCAAAATGGCAACGAGGGAAAGCTAAAGGACATAATCCACAAAACGCTGAGTATGAATTATAGCCCTTAGCTAAGCCTGATTTGTGTGGCTAGCACTTACACAGCAGATAACCCAGGCTGACAGTGACCTTGATGGCACCGCAACGGTAATATTTCCTGCAGAGGCTGAACAGTTTTCAACCTATTTCTCCTGAGCAGGAGCTACAAGCACGCTTGTATTCCACAATGTGGACCAAAGTAATCCTCGGTATGGGGCTGTGAATGATACAAACAGACTATGGCTCCGTGGGCATGCCGAACGCCTGCCTCCCTCCTTTCTTCTGCCCTTGATAAGGCCGTTTTGAGGAGCATAAAGAACATTTCCCTGGTGCACGCATTTCCCTTTCTTCCCCCTCTCAGCGCGGAGCTGAGCAGCCATGCAGCACAGAGGGGATCTGGTTCCAAGTCCATTGAGCAACTGCAGGTATTTAGTGACCTTCTCAACCAATACGTTGGTCCCTTGGGAACTGCAATTGATTTTCCTCATCTCTGCATGCGAAGGCAACGCTTCTACACCATGTTACAGTTATATAGTTAAAGGTAAATCGGAAACAAATCTCCCCACGCCTCCTTTTTAAGTAAACATGAGCAAAATCCTAATTCTTAGTCATTTGTGGAACAAACCGCTGGGGAGATTAAAGAGATACAAATAAACTGAATACCAAATTTTTCAGTTGATGGTCTGTTCTCTCTTCACTTTGCTGCCAAGACCAGTGTTTGCAGTACTCTGCTTTTCGCTGACTACAGCTGATATTACTTCTGCGTAAAGCTGCGAGAAGAGTGCCGTTAACTCTCCGCAGCGGTGACATAAATCCTGAAAAATCCACCAAGGGAATGGGTGGTGGCAAGACTGACACGGGTCACTGCAAGGAGTGGTGGGTCCTTTGAAGGCTTCATCTTACGTCCAAGCCATACGAGTCTTCCCACCCGTTGATGGAAAAGCTTGCTACGTCCCTGTGGCTGAGTTACAACTGCATCTGTTATGCTGCAAATGGACAGCCTGGGCTGATTTTTAGTGTTTGGTCTGCTAAGAGACAAATGTCACAGCTAGGCTTAAAAAAAAAAAGAAACCCCCCCCAAACCAACCCCATGGACAGATTGAAGGCAAAGGGCAACAACTAAGAAGAGACAGGTCCTAGGGGAAACATGGCTTGCACGAGCCCAGCGCAAGCATGGGTTTTGCTCTCTGCAGAGTCGTTCAGTTGCTTCTGTGAAGGGAGTAAGAACAGCCTGCAGTGGCTGGGTTTCTTTGTTTTTAAAAACATTTGCACTGCGTGCCTCAGTTTCCCTCTCTATAAATGGGAGCGAATGAGTTCAAGTCTTGTGTGAGAGGCAGAGAAATGGCAATATTTACAACTTGTTGCCTACTTGGAGCTGAAAGGAACTTTTTACCCAAGTTGTCCTTCAGGGGAGAGAACAGGAGGCTCGAACTGCTGGACATTAACTTTAAGGGGAAACAGCCCTG